AAAAATCTCTCATATGTTAACCCTGAATATAGTGAGAAAAATCATGTTGATACTTGAATTTTTCAATATTTAATGATAGCTATTTGAAAAACAAAATAATAATGTAGAGATCTATTATGAATAGCACCATATAAACAAATGATTCAATTGGTCATTTATCCGAGACATTCATGCCTGATTCACCAGGGCTTGCAGTGTAGACATGTCGGTGATCACTAATGTGGAGCAATCCGTACTCTAACGCCGCCAACCGACAAAAATATAATTAAAGTTTTTAAGAAATAAAAAACTAAACAAGTGATATATGTTTCTATGAAAACACATCAATTTAAAAATATTATTCTCTTTAGTGTCTCGAAAAATAAATTATAATCAATAGCTTTATTTTTAAGCGGCGCTAGCATGCCAGTCGTTCCACCTTATTAATACATTAAAAACGGATATACACAAAATGAATAAAAAAAAACATTTATTTATTCTGAACCATAATCAAAATCTGACTCTAGACATTCAATGCCTTCAGATGATTTATCACTTTCACTTTCATCATCACAAACCCTGATGAGAAATGGTTCAAGTTGCTCTTCTGTTATTCGGTCTTTAACTTTATATTCATTTTCAACATTAATTACATGATCTGTACATTTCTTCCAATCAGCTGCTGTCACAGTGGCAAAACATTCTTTTATTAATTTTTCTGTATGAGCACCTGGCACACCTAAATTTTTACTTGCTATTTTCCTTTTTACTAAGCTCCAGATTAATTCAATTGCATTAAGGTCGCAATGGTAAGGTGGTAATTTCAAAACCTCATGTCCATGCTCTTTTAAAAGTTCCTCAGCTTCATACAAGGGTGCAGGTTTGTTTTGTTTAACAATACACAAAGGTTCAGCCTTTGTGAAACTTTCTTCAAAAGGAATGCCATCATCACTGAGCCACTTCTGAATATCAGCCTTTACATTACTCATCGTTGGGGCCTTGTTTATTTGTGTAACGTGGTAACTCGCATTATCCATAACAATTACGGAATGTTCTGTTAAATTAGGTATCAGTTTTTCTTCCAACCATTTCATGAAGTTGTTACGGTTCATGTCATCATGATAGTCTGCCATTTTAGATTTTGTGCTGAACACTAGTAACCCATTTGGCACAAAACCCTTCTCAGATCCAGCATGAACTATGATGTATCTTTTACCTGTAAACATAAAAAAATTAATAAATAATAAAACATCAATAAGTCAAACAATTTTGTTAATAGTTTTAAAGGTACTGACGCATGCTTACATTCATCTAAACATATTTTCAAAGAAAGAAACCAGATTAAGTCAGAAACTTAGTATACAAAAAATGACCTTTAGAAATTTTGTCAATTACTCCACTTGTGCTTGGACCTTGCCAAGATTTTTTTGGTCTATAATTTTGATGTACATACGTTTCATCTAAATAAATTATTGTGTTTCCCTCGTGCCGTTTCTGATCAATAGTTCTGAGGTATTTGTGTCTCCAAGCCGAAATTTCAAAATTTTCAATTAGAAGAGACCGTTCGCTTTTATTGCTCTTGAATTCAAAACCATTTTTTAACAATATTTGTCTTAATGTTTCACGGGATCCTATGAATCCAATGGATACTCGCAGTTCTTCTAATAGGGTTTTTATGGTTGGAACTTGCTTTTTAACACAATAAAGTTCATTTATTTTACTCCGGATTGCGCATATGTCAAAATCATCTAAGTTTGAAACACGGGGTTGACGAGGGCGTTTTTTTCCTGGTGTGTTCCATTTACCCTGGTTTAAAGAACCTTCCTTTTTTATTCTTCTCATTGTATTTACACTAACATCTGGAATTATAAAAGTATAATTAGGTTAGCTAGCCAAGTCTATGTACAAGTATAAAATATGGTGCAATTATGTTTATTGAAAATTACCTGTTAGAGTAGATAAATGCGTTAAATAACTTGATTCAGAGGTAATAAGATCTTTATTCTCAATATCTTTGAGCTCCTTGACTAAATCTTTGATTTTGCGTTTATTGTCTTCGTCATCCGACATACCTTCAAATCAGGAAAAAAATATTTAGTACCTTCTTACCTTTAATGCAATAATATACCTACGGCCCCGAAAGTTATACAGTTATTTAAAAGAAAAGCACCTCTCCTTGTTTGAATGTACATATAAGTATCAAAATGTGATGGCTATACTTACTTGCAGACGAAACAATTTTGTCCAAAAGACGTATTTTTTCCTCCACACGTCGGCTTGTTTCAGTTTTTCTTTGTTCATACTTGTTTATCATACTGTAGAACAAATTCCGAACACCGCTTTTAATAGGTTTCGACATTTTTCAAACCAAAAAACGTATAAATATCACACCACAGCAAGACGTAGAGGTTAAGTTAATTTAAAATGACATCTCTCTCTGACAGTTAACAGTGTTGCCATTCGTAATAATTCTTGTGCCACGACTCACTTGTCAGACTCTAGAATCGACACTACAATGGTGGTTTTCCAATTACAGAGCATAATGCAACTCAGTGGCGCACAATGCCGAATTATGCTGATGCTTAATTGGAACGTGAATTAGTTTTCAAATGCACCAGTAGAGTGCGCTAAGTTCAGTGTTGAAAAAAAAGTCAATGTTTGTACCTTCATCCATATTTATATTTAATTTTTAACACAGTTTGAATTAACTTTGATTATTTAAAAAAAAACTATGATGAAAAGAGTTTTAATAATTTTTCAACAATAAATAATATTACTAACGATAACATATAAATAAAACATTTCGATCAATGCCATTAAGTTACCACGTTAAGCATTATACCGCATAAGGGTACGGCCAGAGTGCACTCAGATTCAGATTCCGAAAACAAGCGCGAGAAATAAACAGTGTAGTTAAAGCAGGGTGGCATTGTGGCCGCAGGCAACTTGCTTAAACTACACTGTATATTTCTCGCGCTTGTTTTCTGAGTCTGAATCTGAATCTGAGTGCACTCTGGCCGTACCCGAATGCGCTATAATGCTCCTGGATATTTGAAATGTAAATTTCGCTATCTTGGCAGTATCCATGATCTGAATCTTCGGTCTAGCAGCAAACAAACTCTAGCTTTTCCCTCTCACCATACTGGTTTTGTTTCCAACTCATTTTCTCTTCAAGCTATACGACTCTGGAACGCACTGCCTCCTCATATTCAAGATGCTCCGAACAAACTGGCTTTTAAACGCTCCGTACGTCATCATTTATTAGATTCCTCCTACGCATCCTCCTGATATGATATATATTTGTATGTATATATCTAAATATTTACATATATATATTATTATTTATGTATTTTTATAGATATGTATTTTATTTAGTATATATATATATTGGTGTCGATTCTAGCATGATTCTCTAAACCTAAACTTAAATTTGACAGCAGTATATCCTTGTCATTCTCTATACAGAATGAAAAGGAGAGACTGATGTTAAATTTAGTTTTAAGTTTAGAGAATCACGTCAGAATTGGCACCAGTATCTTGTTTCCATAGATATTAAAAATATAATAAGTAATTTGATGAATTCTTTGTGCACTACCTTAAGATTTTTGCTAAAATTCTCCGGTTGACTGGTAGAGAATGCCTAATGGCATTAAGTCCGCCACTTGTACATACCTTTCTGCAATAAAGTATAAATAAATAAATAAATAATGCTGTAATTGGAAAACTGCCAAATTGTTTAAATAAAAATATACTACTGTTAATATATGTTAATCGATTGTCGATAAAACTATGTAAGCAATAAGAGTACAGCTCTAAAATATATTATTTTTCAATACGAATTTTGTATACAATTTTATTGGTATTTTCATGAATAAATACAATTGGTCATGATAGTAAAATCCCAATGATAGTATTATTCAGACACATAAAAATACCAGTATATGTTCAAAAATGTTTGCTAAGACATGACTACGACTTACACATGAAATGATAATTCCGAGTTTTTGATTCTTTCTTTTACCGTACTCGATGAACAGAACACAGCTGAACACGGCATTATCTTAAACTTGTTTATAATTTTCACGCTTAACACTATGAATTCTTTTCAATTTATGAAATTATCACACGTCACCGCAATGTTGTGAACATATTATTCGGCCACTCGTAGGCCATAATTTACACCAAAAAGCTTATACCCGCCATACACACTACGATAAATCGTTACGATTAGACTGTACAGTCCGAACGGTACCGATAAATCGTAGCATGTATGTTATAAAACTGCACAGTTTCCTATACTAAACGAAATCGTATAAACTGTACCGTTCGAACTGTACAGTCTGATCGTAACGATTTCTCGTAGAGGCGGGTATTTACACCGATACACAGCTTCACAAACTTACGACACTGTGGCAATTGCTCTTTCACTCATAAGTACAGGTTAGACAGAGATGCATGGAAAACAGTTCCATCCGTCATCCAGGCTGTCAAACTTCTGGCTCCGTCCATTTGATACTATGTCTATGGTCACCAGCACCACTATGGTCACGACACAACACGACAAACAAATATATTTTGTTCCTGGCTAAAGCATCGTACTATCGAACACAAATTCCTGAACGTTATTAAAATTAATGACAAACGTCTAAATTCAAAATAGAACTTCTCTTATTTTGACATTTTATTTTACTGATTTCTAAATATTGCTTCATAAATTTAATTTAGACGAAAACGTGAAAGTGCATCAAATGTATGGTATACATAGGTACATTTAGTCATTGGTAGTAAGGTTACCATATTTTTTCAATAATTAACTTAAATGGACACCGACATCGAAGCTTTGCAAACCATGGCAAAAGCAAAGGTGTTATCCCCGAATGCCTTGAAAGACGTAAGGATGTTTTATTAGTATGTATTGTAGTTTCTTTTCTTCAGCGTGTAGGTAGATTTGGATTTTTTTTATTCGTGAATGCATCGGATTTGGCATAATGATAATAGTTCCTAATTCCACCGCTTGGTGGATCTCTCATCACTAAATTGACGTCACGCCATTGGTACCTACGCCATTTTGTAAGTGTTCGCCGAAGTTAATTTTCTGGACAAAGTGTGAAATAGTTTATTCGCATGGTTTTGTGTACAATAAAATTAAAAGACATTTCTCAACCTAATTAACGTCTTGGACGTTAAATCACAGACTCAAATCATGGAGGACAAGGCGTCGTTAAAAGAACTGGATCAATGGATAGAACAGCTAAATGAATGCAAGCAATTGACAGAAAATCAAGTAAAAACGTTATGCGATAAGGTAATGTACATTTTATTCTTTTAAATTGAATCAATAATAATTATTTTCGCTACTCAATGTTGTTATGTGTAATTCATTGGGGTTATTTCCTCTACGTTGTATGATTCACATCTTGTCACAACGAAGTGAAAAAGCATCCAACATAACTTGAATGTAATCGTAAATGTTGAATAATTTGGAAGCTACTGAATTCTTTACACTATTAGTATTACTCCCGGTTTTAAATTGGGAGGTAATGTATTCTACCACACCCAAGCACCAATCGGCTTTACTGCTTCATGATAGCTTACCATAATTGATTCAAAGGTATTTATAGATTCTGCGGAAATATGTTATCTGACAAATTATACACTCTTTTAGAAGTACAGACATTGTTTATTTTAATTTTGGTTAAGTAACTGTCATTGATCTTTTGATACACTACCTACCTATATAAAACAGACGTGCTTCGAAAGCCACAGCTAGGTATACATTTAACAACTGATACTATTTTACTGTAGAATTGAAAAAGTCTACAGTGTCAAAACTTGTTATCTATTTTAGCAATTGCACTGTTAAATCAATTTGTTTTAAAGCTGGGGCTTCTATGTTTTGGTTCAGTTGTTTTTGGTACTATGTATATTTATGTATAGACATGTGTACATAGTACATACTGTCATTAAAACTTACTTTTCAATTTGGTACTTTCATAAACTGAACAAACTTGTCATTTAAAACAATTGTTCATTTCAAATTGAATGAAACATGGTTAATGATTATAAATAACAAAATTAGGAAACTTAACATTAGTATGTAGATAAAATAATTTTCATGATAATTTATCTTAAATTGATTTAAAAAATAATCTATAAACAAGTAGCTGTTAAACTCCTAATGTGTGTATGTACCTACTTATTACATATTTTAATATGGCAATAATATAAGCAATTAATAGTAGGTACTCTTACTCTTAAACTAAGACTTTTACATCATAAGGATTTTCCTGAAAAGTGAACATTATTTATTTATACACAAAACTTGATATGTTTGTATAATATCTTAAATTAAGTTTCAATCTTTAATCCTAGTAAATGTTGCACACAACATTTAACTAGAAAATAGAACCAAACTTTTATTTTTATTATATGCATTGATTGTGTATTTAAATATTCCATTTAAACTAAATTACAATCAGGATCAAGTTAAACATTTTCAAAATTACAATGTAGCGTTCTTATAACTTTAATAAATGACCTTAAACTTTGTGAAAACATCCAAATCTTTACTCTATCATTATGAGATAAACACATTCGAAACAGTGCATCATTAAAAGTAACATTGTTGTTGCAACTCGGCACAGAGAAAAGTTTTAGGTTGCTTTTACTACCACTAGTTTTTTTAAGTAATAACTGACTAACAAACATTATATATTAATACTGTTAGATTTAGTTTTAAGTTGAGAGAATAACATCAGAAAAACACCTTCAGCTATTTAACACATAAGTCGCAACCAGTTGACAAACAAGCTAGTTATTGCCATAATAGAATGATAATCTAGATTTGTAGAGTATTTTAAATCTATGCAATTTGTTTATTTATTTTACACACAATTGCATCTTAACTAAATCTTTGACAATCAAGCTATACTGACAGTAATGTTGTTTGTGGACAGGATATAGGAGCACTTTTTATAGTTAGTTAAGTATATCTCAGTAGGCTGTAAATGTTTAACATTTGTATATTGTGATTTAACTGTGCTGATCTTCTTCATAATGACTAATTTTTTTCCATCAGAAATCAGTTGTCTTTTAATAACATTGCTGCATCCTTGGCTTGAAACCAATACAAAATATTTTTTAACAAAAATCTTGATGGCAATACACTTATGACAAGTAAATCGCAGGAAAAAAACATATTTACAGCTTTTACAGTGATTCTTATGTAGTTTTAGTTTACCTGACCATGACAAATTAAAAAGGAAGGGTATGGCAATTTAAAGACTGTTTTTTATGTCCTACTATGCATATGGTTAAACTACTGAAGTGATTGATTTAGGTATCCATCATTGCATATTATAGTCTCGGTAAAATAAGTTTTACAGTTCAGTTAGGTGTATAAGATTTAATTCAAACCAGTGCAATGATACAATTCTTTTAAATATGAAACAACCAATTAGAGACTTCATTCAGTTTTTAAGAAGTATGGGTACAAGTAGGGCTGCCATCTTCTAAAATATAAAAACTGCAATTTGCTTTAAGATAGGTAAGACATTTTTTCTTGAAAGCCAGACATTAAGTAACATATATTTTTAATAGCTATGCAAACAAGCAGAGCCAGAAAAAGTGGGCACATTCGTTTTTAGTGGACAAGACCCAAAAAAGTCATACATCTTAATGATGATGGTAACCCTAGATTTTTATCACACACAGTACAGAACTGATCTATCTGCTGGCAGTCCATGTTTCATTCACAAGTATATTTTTGTTAATGTATTACATATTTTAGCAAATTGAACAATGATTGACTTTTGGACTTTAGGAATTGCTTGTAACTGCCCAGTGTCTAGATAGTCAGTCTAGGCTCTTCTTATACAATTTGGGCTCTAGACTGATTTAAAATATTACATAAATATTTTATTAATTTTGCTTAATGCCACATTGTGTGATAAATGAGCATAGCTCATAAATCTGCTTATCTAAAAATAATCAAGGTTAAGTTCATTGACCTAATTGTGAAGTAGGTTATGTAGGGCTAACAGTCTTTAATATTAAAATCTTATTATTCTCTCATTATTTTTTAATTTTAAATAATTGGAATGTTAATTTTTTAACAGTATGTATGGGGTTAACAATTATTAGAAATGTTTTGGTACCTAGTAATAAACTTTGGTAGTGAGTGGTGCGGGGGGTCCGTTGCCGTGGAAATGGGTATCGTTTAAATACGCATCCGAGATTCTGAGCGCACCTCCGAACTCGCGCGGTTGCCCGCGCTTTTTCAAAGTGTAATTTTAACTTTGCGCATTTTTCTGATCTTACGTAAGAACTATCCAGACTCCCTCCCAATCCCTTGGAGAAAAAATAAGACATGGTCGACCTCCCTCCCCCCCTAAATCGTCTTACGTAATAAATGAATGACCTCTATCATCTCCTCAAGTACAGCTGTTTACAACAATGTCAAATGTTTTCACTAAGAATTTCAAAATCCTTGTAAATTTTTCTTAATGTTAAAAGTGGGCTAACAAGTGTATAACCAGCGTGATGATAAATAAATAAATATTTCAAACACTCACAATAATTAGCCTAGCCCCAAAGTAAGAGCTGTGAGGCTTGTGTTATGGGATGCTAGGTTGCCGGATAGAATACATATACTGTGTTTATGTATATTTATATAGAAATACATATTAAACATTCATGACTGGAGCACAAATGCTCGTTTTCATCACACAAACATTTGCCACCACCGGGATTCAAACCTGAGAACTCTTGAGAACACTTTGAAACCCGGTGTACAAACCACTCAGCCATGGTGATGGGTGGTGGTCAGTATAATGATAAGCGGCTGCCAGAGCCTATAGATACTTGTGATACCAAAAATATAACTCTCAGCATTGCATAGGTAGCCTGACCCATCCCCTACCCTGTGGAGCCCTGGAACATAGAGAGAAAACTATAGAGACTTCTTGATGAATATGGAGTAAGCTTGGTTAGAATTGACTGGGTTCATGTAATTTCAAATATTTACAGTCGCACCCAAGCTTAGGATAGATAGAGCTTATGTCATAACATAAGCTCTCATTAGCTTGTTATAATGCCTTGTAATAAAAAAGAACAAAAAAAATTAACTTGATTCTGGGTTAAGCCATCTTACTTTGCTGCTTTTGGTTATGCAGGAGCACATAACAATGGAGCTGTTAATTATGTCTGGCGTGTAAACTGTTTATCATATTACCTAGACTAGACCCACTACATATTTCAATAATGTGTTGCAGGCTAATTCATGTAAAATATTTTTATTGGTATCATAACTTGTTCTGGCAGTTTCTTAAATATTTTTAAAGGTTGCTGAGATATTATTTTCTAGTCACGTATTTTTAGTGTATTTGTTAGGTACTTTATTTGTGGTGTAGCTGTCTTCTCAATATTATTACTGGATCTACTATGTTGATACTAGATCTAGGACTTAAGTATATCATATTTTATTAGTCTGTGATCAAATGTTATTCTATAAATAAACAATAAAGCTCCTTTCCTCATCTGTCTGGCTTTCCTCATATTGCTGACTCCACCCACAAACTATACAACTGATTTTGATGAGGTTTTTAACGTCTTGCAGACAATTGTTTACAAAAGGTTTATAATACAAGCCAGAGAACAAAAATTATAAGTCTACACAAAAACAAAACAATGATAATGATAAAATAGATTTTGTTTTTTTCCCTTAATTGAAGACCTATCATTCCGGATTATATAAGTACATTAGTCTTAGTCTTAGTAGAACGGCGGGCTGTTTCCGCAACTCGACATCTGGTGCCTATTTTGCGTGGGGATTGGCATCAGTCCTGCCATCCCAGCTCCTCCAGAAAGCTCAGCAGTCCCCGAACGTTACTGCAGGCCTCTACTATAGTCTTCGGGCTTCCCATTAGAGAAATCCTTTGTCTTGCAACGCCCGTGCACTCCAGCAGCACATGGGCGCTCGTCTCCTCGTCCTCCAGGCAGGCTCTGCACAGAGGGCTGTCAGAAATACCTATATTACAAAGGTGTTTGTTGAAATAGCCGTGACCCGTGAGTATACCCACGATTTGTTTTAAGGCTTGTCTAGGAAGTCTGATTAACTTACGTGTTAGCTGCAGGTTTACCTTGGGAACGGCTTCCCTAGCTTGCCTGCAGTCTGTGAGTTCTGTCCAGTATTCGTTATGTTGTCGTTGACAGCGCTCCCTTATCCATGTTCGCAGCTGTCGATAGGGTATGGGTACAATAGGCTCCGGACCAATGGCCGTCCTGCTAGAACCTTCCCTGGCTAAGCAGTCCGCCGCATCGTTACCCCTTGAGCCGCTGTGTCCTTTAATCCACTGCAAAGTCAATCTATTGTCGTTAGCAATATTAGTCAACTTACAGTGGCATTCATAAATTAAGCCTGATGTCATTATATTGTTGTCCAGTGCCTGTAGGACAGAAGCGCTGTCAGAGAGAATACGAATGTGTTTTCCTCTTACCTTGCGACAATCTATCGCTTCGGCGGCCTTGATGATGCCCACACACTCTGCCTGGAAGACCGTGTTATAGGCTCCCAATGCTGTTGAGATGTGTATATTTAGGTCTTCAGAGAAGACACCCGAACCTGTACCGTAGTTGGTTTTTGAGCCGTCTGTGTAGACCCTCAACTCCTTTTGCAGACAGTGGTCCGGAGTGTCTTCATAAAGTTGAATTTTGTATTTTTTGTCGAATACGTACGTCTTTGGAATGAGGTCGTTTACTGCAGCAAAGTACGGAAAGTACCTGTATATGTCTGCTAAAATGCTGGTGTGTGGGGAGCTGTTGTCCCTCCATAGCCCCAGCATGCTTAGTCGTGTGGCTGTACAAGCAGCTTCCTGTTGTATAAACAAATGTAGTGGTCTCACGTCAAGTATAGTCTCCAGTGCTGATGTGGGAGTGGTTTTCATGCAGCCAGTGATTGCACAGCAGGCCCGCCTCTGGAGACGTCTTAACTTATTAATTGTCGTTACCTGGTTTGTCTTTGTCCACCATACTACTGCTGCATAGCTGATGATGGGCCTAATTATGGTCGTGTACAGCCACCTAACAATGAGCGGTGATAGTCCCCAGGTTTTGCTAATCATTTTGCGGCATTGCCAGAAAATGATGTTGGTCTTAGTAGTAGTTTTGTCTATGTGTGAACCCCAGTTCAGTTTGGAATCTAGGGTTATTCCTAGATACTTTACCTCGTTGGAGAGCCTTAGTGTCGTGTTAAATAGTTTCGGTAGCCGATAGTCGCCTAAGGCTCTTTTATTCGTGAACATGACTAATTCTGTCTTCACTGGATTCACCTTAAGGCCGTAGTCGTCACACCATTTTTCAACTACCTTCATTGCCCCCCGTGTAATGTCACAAGCGGTGCTCGCAAACTTACCCGGGATTAGGATTGCCAGGTCATCCGCATAGCCCACCGTGTGGAAGTGAAGGTTGTTTAGTTTGGTAATTAAGTCGTTTACGACTACATTCCATAGCAGAGGCGATAGTACTCCTCCTTGAGGACATCCTTTAGTCGCCAATGCTCTGAGATGGTTGTCGTCTTGTAATCTGATTAGTCTGTTACGGAGCATGTTACTTACCCAGTATATAATGTTCTCATCGACTCCGTGTTTGCCAAGTGCGTTTACAATACTGGCGAAGCTTGTTTTGTCAAACGCGCCTTCTATGTCTATAAAGGTGCCCAGACATAGCTCTTTTCGTCTGAGACTATCCTCTATTTTACTTACGACTGCATGTAGTGCAGATTCTGTCGACTTGCCTGGACAATAGGCGTGTTGGTTTAGATGTAGTGGAAAGCTGGTTAATTGGTTATCTCTCAGCTCTCTGTCACACAGTCTTTCTAAGGTTTTTAGCAGAAATGATGAGAGACTTATTGGCCTGAAAGATTTCGCTTCGTTGTAGTCGGCCTTGCCTGGCTTTGGTATGAAGATTACCTTGACCTCCCTCCAAGGCTTCGGCGTGTATCTGAATGCAAGACACGCTCTCAGGAGGGGCACCAGGATAAGGATTAGCGCTTCACCTGCCCATTGAAGCAACGCCGGAAAGATGCCATCTGGTCCGGCTGCTTTAAATGGCTGGAAGCTGTTAATGGCCCACCTTAACTTGTCCATGGACACTGTCCTCATTGCAGTGTTCCAGGATTGTTCCGTGGGGGTCCAGCAAGTGTCATTCCAGGTGTGTGTCGTGTCTATGATGCAGCCTGGAAAGTGGGTTTCGAGCAGTACCCTCTGTGCCTCCTCCACTGTCTCTGTGAGGGAGCCATCAGCTTTCCTGAGCTGTGAAAGGTCTTGTTGTCTGTCTTTGGAAAGCAGTTTCCTTACCTTATTTGCCTTGGTGCATGAGTCTATTTCAGAACAAAATTTCCTCCAAGACCCATTGCTCCAGTATCGGATGCGTTTTTTATAAAGAGCCTTGGCATCTTTATACGCATCCCAGTCTTGGTCGTCACATGTGTTCATGGCCCTGTTAAAAAGTCTTCTTACCTTTTTCCTCAGTTTGTATAGCTCGGGGCCCCACCACGACTGGCTGGCATCCGAGTTGGATGATGGTGTACTGAGAGGACAGGCTGTCTGATAGCATGAGATAATTACCCTTGTTAATTCCTCAGCTGTTTCGTCTATCTTATTGGTTTCGTCTAAGCTTTCAGCCTGCATATGTTGCAGTGATAGTGTTACCTGTCTGCGATATTGGCTTCTATTCGTTTTCTTGGGTATGCGTCTTGGTGACTGGGTAACACGCTGTACCGCGATGTTGAACCTAATCCACCTGTGGTCAGAGCAGGATGCCTCTGGGGAGACGTGCCAGTCAGAGATCAATCCCGCTGCTCTCCTTGATGCAAGAGTAAGATCGATGATAGATCTACCTCTTCTTGTTACGAAAGTAGGTTCAGAACCTGTGTTTATTATGTTAAGGTTTGTGGTAAATAGGTAATCTACTAATTCCTCACCTCGTTTGTTGCTTTTCGTCATGCCCCACAGTTGATGGTGGGCGTTGGAGTCGGTGCCGATGATCAGCGCCTTGTCAGTTTGTTCACAGTGTCTCACCAGCTCAGCCAGTTCCCCTGACGGAGCCTCCTCTCCCTCAGGCATGTAGGCAGAGGCAACTACCAGGACAGGTACACTTGGATTTTGCTGTTGTATTATTTGTATTGTTGTTATGTCGCTAGAACAAAATTGTGTCATTATTTTTGCCTGCAAGTGTCTTGAACATACAATGCAGGTCCGCGGTGCGCAGTTACCTGGGTTGTAAAAATTCTTACCACCGGTGTTGTTGAGGCCACATATGGTGTTGGATCTGATCCACGGCTCCTGGACCAGAGCGATAGCCCCGTCGTTGTTCTCCTCCAGCCACTTCCTTAGTTGAGCCGTTGCGGTGCGACTGTGCTGGAGGTTTGTCTGCAGGAGCTTAATTGTCGTCTGTTGGGGCGCCATCTGAGGCGAGAAGCACATCGACATCAACCTCCTGACTGATGTCGATCCCCCCAAGTTTGTCCGCCCACTCGTCAACCACGTCTGTGTCCCCCTTCTCCTCAGATGTGGACTCCATTACAACTGGAGTGTCTGTGATGGTCTGTTGTGTCACGGCTGGTCTAGACGTGCTCTGTACCGGAGTAGATGTTTTTTCCTCTAGAGGTGGCAGGCTCTCCAGGTACTGACCACCCTGGTTCCTGAACCTCACGTATACAGAGCCCATCAAGTAGCAGAGGCGTCTGCCTCTAGCTAGTAGCCCCTCCGCGACGTCCCTGGTCGTGCTGAACACCAAAAAGGTGCTATCGTCACCTGCGATGGCCTTGTGCAGGATCCATCGGTCAACCTCTGCGAACTTGTTCTGGTAGCGCAGCAGCTTGGCGATTGTGTGTGGTTCTCGCGTCCCCGGTATGAGGAGGCCACAAACCACTCTCTTCGGCCTGTCGATCTGGCGCTGCACTACTAGGTCGTCTAGCCCCGGTATTTTTAGGCTGTCCACTACCTTCCTGACCCACTCCAGTGTTTTGGGTGTTTCGCACCAGAGGCTCAGGGCGCCGTCCCCAATGATGGGTTTTCCCTTAAGGTTTGGGGCTTCGTCCGTTGAGGATCCTGCTGTTAGCAGTTCCTCCACAACGGCCTCCTCCAGGGCCTTAAGGACCAACCCAGCCTGGGTGGCACTAATGTGTCCCGTCTTTTTGCTGGTGATAATCACCAGCAGGTCTGCAGTAGCTGCGTCGGCGAAGGAGACCTTCCCAGAAGAGCGACGCGGTTCGTCGTTTTTGGGCTTTTTATATTGCCCCCTCGGTGACACCGTGTCATCAAGTCTGGGCCTCTTTGAGGCCTCCTGTCTGTCTGTCTGTCCGGTCTTGGTCTGTCTTTTTTCTGTCCGTCTGTCAGTCCATTTCCTTTGTCCGTCTGTCTGTCCCTGGTCCTGGGTTCCTTCCTGACCCGCTTCCGCTTGTCTGGTGGTCTCCGCCGAGAGAAGTCTGTCGCGGGCCTTCCTAGCGCGTTTACCGTGCTTCAGTCGGCCCGTCTTCGGTTTGGTGTCCTGAGCTGGATTCCTGGTTTTGTCCTCCACGCGCCGATTTTTACGTCGGTGCGTAGCGACTTGCCAGGAGTCAAGCTCGTCTGTCGTGTCCTGTGGTTGCTGCCTGAAACCGGGTTGCCCCTTCACCAGGTCTGCCAACTCACTGGACGTAGATGGTCTATTGTCTGTCTCCGTCGGCCTGAAACCGGGTTTCCCCTGCACCAGGATCAACGACGGTTGTCTGTCGGTCTCTGAGTCTTGCCTGAAACCGGGTTTCCCCTTCACCAGGTCATCGTCTGTGTCTGTCTTTTTAAATTGGGATCTGTTATGTGCCATTTCCACGTGTCTATATATAAGTACATTAGTTTATTTGGTATCTACATACTTTATTGGCTTGTAGGTGGCCTCTACATTCGCTCAAATACTTTACGCAATGTTTGTTGTTTCTAGTCTTAAAATGCGTATGTACAGTCGAGGGTAAAGATTACAGACAATGGACACACTTGTCATGCGAATATCACTCTTGATGCTTCGTTATAAAAGCGCTGTCAGTGTCTTAATTCTAAACTCCCATGAGTACTTAACTATACCTATCCTATCCACTTAAAATTAACATTCTTTAAAAGAAAACACAATAGGTACACATATCAAAATTGGTTCTATACTTAATATTTTAGGGGGATACATTTTTTTGATAAATTCAAAAGCATTACTTCCGTTTTACTATTTGCATTCCCAAATTTAAATGTAATTCCTTTTCACAGGCAAAGGAGATTCTGACTAAAGAGTCAAATGTGCAAGAGGTGAAATGTCCTGTGACCGTGTGTGGAGATGTGCACGGCCAGTTCCACGACCTGATGGAGTTGTTCCGGATCGGCGGCCGGTCGCCGGACACCAACTACCTTTTCATGGGGGATTATGTCGACCGCGGTTATTACAGCGTCGAGACAGTCACATTGCTCGTCGCCCTTAAGGTAAGTCATATTGATTTATTCTCAGCTCATCCCACTGAGCTTTGTACCAAAAATATTTTTGATTATTTTATTCTTGGTTTGTCCCGATTTTTATACTTATTTCGTCCCACTTTATTTTGTTTACTCTTTAACATTCCGACCCAAGTTGAAAGTCATTTCAAGTTGCAGAAAAAGAGATGACAATGCACTAATAATAACGCATGGGGTTTTAGATCCAGGGCAGGTAGTAGTTTGGTGCAGCTTCTTATTATTTCTCTGTTAACTGCCATAGTGCTTAACGTTTGTTTCTGAATTCATTGTTTCTTCACTTCAGTAAAAGTCAGCTTTAGCTACTGTTGTCCTTATCGCACGGTATTTGCCAATGCGCGACAGCAATAGTTTTTCAAATACCTATTTCTCAAATGTCTCAGCCTGCGTCCGCTTTTGATGTCAGGTGGCATTTAGAAGAACTATCCTTAAAATGAAAACTAACGTGGAAAATGTGCGTTGCGTTTTAAGTAAAGATGTATATAAACGGCATACTACCAGCTTAGCGTTGTAAAAATTTGAGCCTAGAACAATGTTTTCAATTTAGCAGTGCTCAGTTGACTAAAATGCTCGCGAGTCAGAGCAAAGTCGCGCGCGAGTCATAGTGTCACATCACAGGGTCTCGTCGAGAAGAACTCGAGTTGTAACATAATGAAAATTATTTGACGAATTCTACTCAACTAATGCACGTTTGCACCAACCTGCACTTAGGCGACGCAAGAGTAAGAGTATTTTAGCTTGTACCAACATAAAGGTCGCAGGATGTTTTTGAAGGTGCTGTCCGATGCTGCACGATGTGTGTTGTCGTGGGCGAGAACGCGCATTGTGAGTACTCTTGAGTACGTTTGAGTTTTAGCAGTCTCTTTACATGATACGAGGTAAATAGTAATCTCGTACACTTTGATATGAGATTTGAATAATGTTGACTGTTTGTGTGATGTACACAAACCAAAAATATTATTAGAAAGTAAACAAATGTCCAGTTCACAAAGGATCGACTAAGTAAGTACAGCTTCATTATGCCATCACAAAGTGTACAAGATTTCTATTTACCTCGTATCGTCTATTCTATAGAGACTGCTAAATCTCATATGTACGGCAACACTACGCGGTGCGGCCGCGCCCGCGACAATAGGCCGTCGGACAGCACTTTAAATACTCTCAAGAACTAAAACAGAAAATCAAAAGTTTATAAATTATATACCTACCTGAAAATACGCAAATATAAATGACATGTGTTATTGTAAGTTATGAGAAAATATAAGACATTTCTAAATTAATTCGCTCCATATTCGTCTTCGTAAAATTAAGGATTAACTTGGCGGGTAAGGATCGTCTTAAAGCTTAGTGCAAACCAATTTTACTATTAGGAATTACCTTAATTTTTAGTTTGAAATGTAGTTTTTACCTCCTTCGACTATACTTATGTGTACATTCCATTTCCCCAATCTCGTCATGATTGACATACTTATAATAAATCAATATTCGTCCATTGAGTTTCGACAACTATTTGCAGACAATGCGTATTCTATGACATTCATAGGCTTAGTTAAAAAGTTACCTTGAAAACTTACATACAAAGCATCCTACACTATTATAAAATGGTATGGTAACACTGCAGCGGAAATTCTTCACAATGCCAATACTCTCTTTATTATAAATAGAGGCTGTCCGCGTTGGCTTTAGTTTTTTGAGAATGGCACAGGAACCTTAAAATCTAAGGTAGGACTGGGATAAAAGGTATCCTATGCCTCGATCCAAGTCATAAATTATATGAGTACCAAATTTCATCCAAATCCGTAATTTTTAACATACAAACTTTCACGTTTATAATATTCGCAAGACTAGCGACACGCTCTTGTTTTGCTTCGATCTTTGCTAGAGTGAGAGTAAAACTTACAGTAAGTAGGTAGTTAAACTTTCATCTTGAATCACTCTATCTTTATCTGAAAACTGCATTAAAATCCGTTGCGTAGTTTAAAAGACAACAGCGGCAGCGACTTTATTTTATAGGCAGAAACTAGTTCTGAAAAAATCTTTTTATGGAAACAATGTAATTGAAAGAACTTATTATGAAAACAACAAAAGAAAAAAAGTACAATGTCGAAAGTGTGCGTATAAACGCTTCGAAAATTAAAATTTTTGTAGCCATTATCAAACAAGCTTCCGCCCTTGTCTTCGTCCATGTTAATTTAAGTTCTGCGCAACTATCTTTTTTTAAGAACCTGCAGTTTTAGAAAACTTATAAAAAAATTGAGATGGGTAAAGTCGTTCTCTAGGTGTGGCATGGCCAAAGGAAATAAGGATTCATATTTATATAATTTTTGTTTCTTTATTGGAACGCTCGAATTCTTTCTTATAATGATACCATTTCTTTATGTACGTGAGAGAAGAGCTGCTTGTTATCTCGTACTTATCTGAGATAGTGTCATCCGATAACACACGGTCACTGTTTACGTCTTTATCACTGTGATTATATCACCGTTCTTGTTACTTTCACCGAACTATGGTATTAAACGCACCGCACGGCGCTTTACAACTTATAATTGCGTATTTTTTCTTGTTTTACACCGAGTCCATGCTGTTCTATTGGACAACGTTATCATATTTTTTTTGATTGCGAGACTCGTTTTATGCAGTGTATATTTTGTAGTTTTCACTACTACTACTTAACTTATGGTTATATTGAAACCATTGATGCTAAGTACAATTATGATTTTATAAGAATCTAGAACGTTTATGCTTACAAGATTGAGGGATTCTGTTACTACTACTGTTATTACTTTTATTAACCCAAATATTTAAGTCATAAACCAGACTAAATTAATCTACTAAAAGTCCTCTCAGTAATTTTACTATTTATAATTAAATACATCGTTGAACCAAATTAAACAAAAATATAAGTTAATTGGGTTTTTAATTTTTATGCGGTCCTATGTTTTTTTCCATATTCATATGAAAAAGAGCAAATATGTATATTTAAATAAAGATGACTCACTCCATGTTCAATATATGTATTAAAAAAAAAAACTAGTAATTCGACATTATTAAGGCAAGGTTACAGAGTAGGTTATAGGTACCTCTCATATCAGATAAATTTATCAACGTTTAGATATTCTGTAGACGTAGGCGGTTTTAATTAATCTTTTTGTTAAGTGGGCTTTTAATAGCCATTGCTAAAATGAAAAAAAAAAACTTTCCTGCTCTTTTTGTCGTCATAATCAATGAACGTCCAGGGCAGTTAAAGCAACTGTTTTGTAGAACGTCGACACTCGTGTTTGCTATTTATCAACTTGACTTCAGTCCGTCCTTTTCATTCCTTATAAAGCATGATAAGGAGAGACTGCTGTCAAGTTTACAAATATCAAATACGAATAGCCAAGTGAAGTGCCGGCAGAACACCCACTAATTCGGGCAGAACACCCACTAATTCGCATTAGGCTAAATCACCCTTTCTCACTATGCCTTCCATGCAATGGAAGCCTATCTGAGTGATCCTCCAGTGGGGGCATAAATAGGCTGATGAAGTGTTACTATTGTTTCCGGACAAAATTCTAGTTTTATTTTGTCGATAAGATAAATCGGTTCATTTGTTTAGTTTACACATGGACAGATAGTTTTGCATTCATAATTAGTATAGATTAGCAAATTATGACAAGCTATAGTCACGAAACTATTCATCTATAGCAAAATAAGTTCACGTGTCTTGGTACATATTGTCTAGGCCGTATATGACGTTTTCGCTTAGTCATGTTAAATGTTACCGGCGCATTTAATTCTTTGTCTATATCTGAAGCAGCTATTTACATTTACCCCGAAACGGATAAGTATGTGGTGTATTTTAATAACAAGGTATCATTTAAATATATTTTAGAATAAGGACGTGAATGTGATGAAAATATTTAAAAATAGTCTTTCAATTTCTTCTTTGAAGCTATAGACAATGTTACCCACATCCTTAATTGCATTTTTCCGACTAAACTAAATTAGTTACTAAGTATGTACTGTAAAATATTACGTAAGTGGACTTTGGAATTATTTATAAGGTCATTCATGTATTTATTATTTTTCTCCGCCTATCTTTCTAAATTAGTAACTAAGTATGTACTGTAAAATATTACGCAAGTGTACTTTGGAATTATTTATAAGGACATTCATGTATTTATTAATTTTCTCCGCCTATCTTTTAGAGGTTATGGTTTCTTACATTACACATTTGCTAGATGATTTGTACCACGGTTTTTACCTAAATAAAGGTACTCTATGAGTTGCAGATTGCATTTAATGTAAAAAAGTTAATTTACATTTGGTTAGGTCTCCTAACTTACCAAATTATAATTAATTAACAAAAAGTCGACTGTGCATGTGCTGGTACTCTATACACGGGTAGTTTTCTGTCAGGATAAAAAACGCTCCACCCGTTATGGCTTGATTTTTCCGAAGTACTGGATTATATTCCTAGTCAGCTACGTATAAAATATGTTGAGGTATGACTATTTATTTTTGAATTCGATGAACACAACGCGGCTCTCGCTGCTAATTAGAGCGAATGTACGTGACGTTGCCCAATATTAGTTTATTAACATTATAATGATACGGCTACACTGCGCGTGCTAGCATGAGACGAGTCAGCCACTAGGCGCGTTGCGCAGTATCGTTTCACATAACATTGCGAGGTAGAATCATCACCTCACCTTATTAGCTTCTGGGCATAGATTAAGAGTACATCTGTGATCTCACTCGATACGAAAGCTCGCGTTGTTGTGATTTGAGGTTATAATCCTATGTCTATTGTGCTCATTGTAACTACGAATAGGCTTGCTCTCATTCTGAATGACCTATAGTCGTTTAGATAATGAACTGAGTGTTACACACATGGAATTGAACTGCGACCATTAACTAACTGACTGCTAACCTCTGGCCGAGCGTGTGTTTTGTATATCTCACTATTTTGTCTGTATTTACTCAGTTGCATATGGTATGCATAGTCCATTTTCTATGTATAGACATAGGTAACCATAGGTTAACCAGAGCCCCACCTGCACTATACCTGTGTCTAGGATAAAAGCGTCAAGAGTGCAACACACCTTCCACTACAGATAAAAGCGCCTCTACAGCCGGGTCGACGTGGCCTGGAACTCATCAGCGAACCCGTGCTAAATTCCTAAATCGCTTGCTCCAGGTCAGATACCGGGAAAGAATAACCATCCTGCGCGGAAACCACGAGTCCCGTCAGATCACCCAAGTGTACGGTTTCTACGACGAGTGCCTGCGCAAGTACGGCAACGCGTCCGTGTGGAAGCACTTCACCGACTTGTTCGACTTTCTGCCGCTGACGGCGCTGGTGGACGGGCAGATATTCTGCCTGCACGGCGGGCTGAGCCCCTCCATCGACACGCTGGACCACATCCGCGCGCTGGATCGCCTGCAGGAGGTGCCGCACGAGGGGCCCATGTGCGACCTGCTGTGGAGCGACCCCGACGACAGGTATGTGGCCTGACCAGCTAACTTTGTAGGTAGTAGATACCCTCCACGATAAACAAATTGAAGTCTTTATTCAAACTGGCAACATACATACCATCCAGGATTTTTATCTAATAACTAGAATATGGTTGTCATCATCATCAGCCTATCCGACCCCACTGCTGGGGCACAGGCCTTCCCTATGGTTGGAATAATTGGACCATGACCCACCATGCTGGGCTAGTACTGATTGGTGAGTGCTAAGGACTGCAGATGCAGCCGGGCCAACGGCTTTGCGTGTCTTTCGAATCACGGAATAGCTCGAGATGGTTACCCATCCAGTGACTATTTATTAGTTTTTTCACCTATCCAGTGACCAACCTCTACGAAAGTTGCTTAACTGCAATAATCGCAGCCGAACGCGCTAACCACTTGCGCCATCGAGCTCCTCAGCTGCAGCTCAGAACATGGTTGTGTAAACTAGTAAATGGATAACTATTGAACGCTAACAGCAGGAAATAGCTAAAATAACACATCGAGGTACACAGTGGGTGAAGTTGTTTTGTTTACCTGCAGTCTTCTTTCGTGTACCAAATGAAGGATGCTCCCATTATCCCATAAGGGTGTGCAAAAAAAAATGTTGAGCTCTGTCCATGCTCTAAAACCAGTATTTAATTTCAATAATGTAAAACATTGCAAAATTCATCTGCCTTATCTCTGTCTGCTCAATTATCTGAATGAACTTTAGTTGTACGATAATTTTCGAATAACGTAACTAATTATTTGGAATATTATTATTACTAATAGGCTGTACAATAACAACAAGAAATTCATGTGACCTTTTTTTAATATAATATTTTTCCTCGTGAGATATTGTTTTCCTGACTGCAGATTTACCAACGTACTGTAGTTAAAATAATGAAAAAATATAAATTGAAATTGAAAGTGGTAAAAAATTGTAATAAAAAAACAATGAAGGACGTTGAATGTACTCATGTTTACTCATGGAGTCATTATCACTACAATACGAGCAAATAATTATCTTAGTTGTGACGACATAACTCGGCAATGTTTTGTCTCTGTTGATTTATCTGTGCAGGACGAACGATAGTGCATTGATTTAGGTTTAGTTCACTCATTTACGCGTACTCATTTCATTAGGCTGCGTAGGTAGTGCCTGATTATGACATGATTCGCTTAGCCTTATACTAAATTCGACAATAGTATAAATTTTGTTTATCATGTTCCATATAGAATGAAAAGCCTAGACTGTTGGCAAATTTCATTTTTAAATTAGATAATCATGTCAGAATCAGTTCCAGTGACTTGAAATTCCAACTCCGTCTAGACCAGATTTTTACTCAATGTAAATGTTTATGACATGAACATTATCGTTTCTTACGGATTCCTGGATATCTTCAAAGTAGATATTCAGTTTTTCAAGTAAAATTGTTAGTAGCCGTGCATGCCAATTCTTTGAACTACTACAGTGGGACTATTTATATCTTTGATTGGCAGTACATAAAAGCTCTAATCACTTTTTGCTTCATTGAGATTTATCAGACATCCACTTGTGAATTAATTAATTAATTTAATAGCTCATTGTATGCTGTGCTGTTGTGTCTGGGATAAATTAAATATTCACAATAATTGAGATAATTTATAAGACAAATTTTTCAACCGTCTCAATAATTAATTTTGTAATATTTGGTTACATTGCATCTGCTGCTTTGTTTGCTTTTGATTCCATTTCATGTTAACATTAAAAGATTCATGGCTTGTCAACCGATTACACTTTCTACAACGTTTTGATTATTAAATAAGTTATATTGTGGTTTGATTTGCTTTCATTGGGATAATATGATACATTCGGGTTATTTAACTTATGAACTGATAAAAATATTATCGGGCTGTTTATATTAAAATATATCTGATCTAATACTTTCATAATGGATCATGAATCATGATTATGATATGAAAGTATTTAATAATATAATGCTCTTTTGGCCTGCTCTATTCTATGATTAACGTTTCTACTAAATTCAAATTCAAAAATCATTTATTCAGTTTAGGCTTTTAGAAGCACATGTGAAAGTCGAAAACTACGCCATCGGTGTGCAAAACTACGGCGGGAGACCTTGTACTGAGAAGAACCGGCAAGAAACTCAGCAAGGGCGGCTTTTTTCTCCCTGTTTTATTTCTTAGTGTCGTCAAATTGACAGTTGACATCAAACTTGCAAGCATGTGTTGAGGCTAGGGCTGCCATCCGTCCGGGATTTGTCCTTGTTTACGGGGCGTCCGGGGAGTGTCCGGGCGGGGTTTTATTTGTAGTCCGGGTTAAAAAATTACGGCAACGCATGAGTGGCCCTTGGTGCTGCAAGTGTCCATGGGCAGCAGTGACCACTTATTATGAGGTAGACTGCTAGCTCTTTTGCCTAGATCAACATAAAAAAGTTGATTTGTGACATTTTTAACTGTTTTTTTTGGTCTGTCCGGGTTCTGGGCACCAAAATCCGGGGTTATTATGCATCTTATCCTGGTTGCCACATTTTAGAGATGGCAGCCATAGTTGAGGTCAACTTCCATCACATAAAACAGAATAATTTCCTTTCTTATGAAAACTGTTCATAATGTGTTTTTTAAAATTTATGAAGAGGCAAATCAAGTATCATTAGGAATCATATTATAGAAATGTATACTTATAGATGACATCTAATTTTTTTTGAATTTTTCTCTTTATGAAGAAAATGTGTTGAAAGACAGAATTATTACTAGACAAGATCTTGTTCAAGGTAGTAGTTTTAATTAAATCTGTCTATGTAATTAAATATTATGCTGTTAGTTCGGTCGATGTATGGGAAAAGTCGCACACAAAAGTCAAGTAATTGTTGAGATGTGAGCTCTGTAATTGCTCAGCCATTAATAATTTCCTATAGAAACAACTTGAATACACAACAGTAAAACCGTCACGTTTATCGTTGAACAGGTGTGCTTAAATTTCACAGAAACTGATGTTTTACATATTTAAGATACTAAATCACAATTAAAATTAGTTTGATAGACAATTTGTTTTCTACCTGTTGAAATAATACTGTGCATATTATTGGGTGCTAACGACTGCAGATGCAGCCGAGACCCGGCTTCATATGTCTTCCAAAGTACAGAAGAGCTTGAGATATTAAATATTTTTCGCGGTGGGTAGTTGTAAAAGAAAGTCGATTTTAAGTGTCTCTTAATTTTAATTATTTAATTAATTACAATTATTAAATCAAGAATTGAAATTCTTATGTCAAATTAATAAATAGTGCACAGTACCTGCCGGCGAGTGTTATCTTCATTATTTATTATCACCAACACTTGTTTTCGTCATCAACATAATGGACAGCATACAGGAAACTCTTTCTCAACTGCAGAATGTTTTTGTAAAGCGGATGGATGCCTATCAAAGTGAGCTGCAAGCTGCTACTCCATCTCCCAATGTCTCCAATCTGACAGCAGACTTCGCAACATTTAGGAGTTTTATTCTTTCCTCCGTTCAAAGTCTGCAGGAACAAATCAACTTACTGGCTCATCAAGTTGACAGCTTAGAAATGAATAGCCGGCGGAAAATCCTCCTCCTACACGGTCTACCAGAGCTATCAGAGGAGGATGTTACAGCAGCTGTTGTACAGGCTATCAGAGCTAAGATGGGGCTGTCAGCCTTCTCTTCTGGCGACATCAGTCGTTGTCATCGGATGGGTCGCTCTTCTACAAATCATCGTCCACGGCCAATTGTAGTAAAGCTGAGAGAATTAGCTGTCAGAAACAAAATGTGGTTCAGCAAAACCACTTTGAAGGGCACTGGTCTAACACTGACAGAGTTCCTTACGAAGAACAGGCATGATGCGTTCATGGCTGCACGAGAGCGGTTTGGCATTAACAAGTGCTACACGCGTATGGGCTTCGTGTTTGTTATTGGAGGTGATGGCAAGCGACACCGCATCAGCAACCTTGACGAGCTGCAAAAGATCCCAGTTCCAATATTGGTGAGAACAGAGTCACCCGTGCCGAACAAAACCCCAGCACCAGTAGTGACGAGTGTCGAGTCGCCCGAAATGAATAAAATTTCAGCACCAGTAGTGGCAAGAGTCGAGTCGCCTAAACCTGCAGCTTCAACATCTTCTAATAACACCAAGACGAGACGTGCAGCCAATGCAGCAAGCAAGAAGTAACATGAGGTTTTCAATAGCTAATAACTTCATTGTCACTGTTTGTTTGTTTGTTGTTTTTCAAGTCTGTTACAATTTCTGGTAATTTTACAAGTTCGTTACTTCTATGGCTATGATATCATACCATCTTGTTGCATCGGTAAATAGCCATTTCCTATGCAAACTTATATAATACTTATTGCTTTCACAAACGAGGGTGTAATTTTAAAAGATAAACTTAAATCTAAATGTAGTAATTGACATTATGACAGTGACACTTAATTTTTTTTTTTCTTTTTGTTCTTTATCAACGTAAAGCATAAGTTTTTGCTTACATACAGCCTTTTTAGTTTTTATTTTTTTTTCCATTTTGATTTTATTATTTCTTTGGTTTTTATTAGCAGACAATGTTAAATATCAAATGCTGTTGTAATCTTCTAGCTTTGTTGCCTGTTTTGATTCTGTGTTGTAATGGATGTTGAAATCAGTGTTCTTTTTATAATTTTATTCCACTCAACCGGCAGGTGGAGCCTAGGTAGTTTAAATTTTGTCTGATAGTTTATGAAATTTATTTAAATATTTATATTTTGGGTATATATATATATATATATATATATATTTACATCTTCTAAGACTTCTTGCATCTTTACAAACTGCCACCCTGCGGCGTCCACTGTACTCGACGCGATTTTGAATGTTTTAAATGCGTATTTAAGTAGCTATTAATATTATAATACCTTGAGTCTACGCGAAATTGCAATAAAATATAAAATGCCAATATTCGATTTTAATATTTCCCGGTAATTTGGCGCATCCGTTCACCACCGTAACCATACA